TGTAAAATTCAACTGCGTCCTTTATCATGCTACTGCCCGGAGTAATAATTGGCAAAAAAATTTGTTTTTATCATCATATTTATGTCAGAATCAAAGTGGATAATATACGATTGAAAGAAACATCATTTATCACAGTCATGTACATGTAATTTTGATGCATCATATCTATATACTGTCATTATTGTATTCATTTACGCTTACTATACACAATAATATTCTTGTCAATACTAAGCTATGGTCAGTAAGACTATGAGATAAGACAAAAAGTCAGTACTTCAGAAAATTAAGATTGTAATAGACGAATGCATGATTTTAATTGCTTTATAATGAGTTGGTTGGTCGAATGTGGAATGACAAAAGCAAATAATTCTTTACTTAAATTATTTTTCTTACTTAAACACCTTACATATAAGAAGAAAACAGAGTTGTAATAAGGATTTAGATTCAAGTTAAGCATTTTTAATTCAATTGTGGCTAAAACAAATACTAATCCAATAATAATATGTACTGTATTGTACTAACAGCTTACTGTATCAAAATCGACGATAATTTCATTGAGAAGTCTCAAGCATTCTACACCTTCGTTGTTAGCATCCAATTCCATATAAAATTTATCGAATTCAGTAATTGTGATAAATACTATCGCGGCATTTTCACGAGCTTCCGAGTATAATTCAGCCCTGCAATATTCGTACTTCTCAAATAATAAGATGGTTTCTGCTTACTACATTTTAGAAATATTTGCATACTTATATTCAATTTTCTCATCTGCTCTGTCAATGATGTGCTGACTGTAGCTCTCAAGTTGGTACACATTGCTTATTTGAGAGAAAATAAACAAAAATCAAATTATATGAAAATAAGAATCGGAAATTACTTCAAATTCAAAATTAATATCTTAGTTTTCGCAGCAGTAAAACAGTTCATAAAATCATTGATACAGTACTTGGATTTAATAAATACTGTTAATTAGCTGCTATAAAAAGTACTAACAAATGAAATAAAGCGCAGAAAATTGAACAATAAATGTTTAATAATACCTTAAATTCATAAACATTAATAAAAAACCAAACTTTAAGACAACCTTTGCATTTGATTTTCTTTGAGGAAATATTCAGCAATATGTGCTGGCAGAATATTCTCAAGGACAGCTCGATTCTGTGCATGCTTTTTTTCCATTTCTCGACCTTCATCCAATGCCTTCAGAAAATTTTACTTACATTATTAATTAAGTGATTATTTTATAATTTCGATCATAAAATTCAGACAATTTCGAATAATTTGTGGTTTAATTTGATAAAATTGCAAGCTTAAAAATTTAGTTTGTCATAAAAATTTGTGCATAAATTAGTAAAGAGAATTGAAAATTGTTGTTATTACTTAACTTTCAGAATCTAATTTGCATCAAAAATGTAACAATGCTAACTTACTTGAAGATTCCAAATGAAATCAAATCGAGAAATCATTTCCGATCGACGACTTTGTATTGCAACTAATATGAATGCAAA